TAGATAATAAATATATTATATAATATATAAATAAAATATATTAAATGTATATAATAATGTATTAACTGTTGTTTAGTTGCGTAATGTGTGTGGATGGAGCCTTAAATGCAATGATCAGATAAATTCTCCCAACTTTTTATTTTGTTATTTTTCAACAGAGAAAAAACTTTTAAGCACTGAATGTTAAGAAGGAATGTTTTTCATGGGGGAAATAAAAAATAACCCACGTTGTGTGCAAGAATTAATGCCAAACATGGCCTTATGGTTTCACAATGGCACATTTTAAACATAGAAATCAAGACAAAAATTGAATTTTCTAGATATGCAGATTCACATGCATATATATAGTATATACTGTAATAAAACAGTTTAATTCAGTTCTTAAGAAGTGAAGAGCCTTACTCACAAACCTATAGTGTTTACAATAGAAAGCTAGCGTTACCAAATCATTATACTTTAACTGTTTATGTACCAGGCAATTGATAAATCAATGGCAATAAGATGTCCATTTAGACAGCTGAATTGGCACATCGGCCAGTGAAGTCTCCTGAGAGGAAGTGCTCTCCAGTCAGAGAAGACGGCCAGAGATATTCCCTGAAGAAACAGCAACGTGATAATCTACATACTAGCTTTTGTTTTCAAGCTAAACACAAATAGAAATTTATCCAGCTTAAGAATGAAAGTTCAAGATTAGTGAATAAAGCTCTGCAGTAGCTCCTTTAATAAATTAGCTTACGTCATGCAGGTGCTTGCACAAACAAGGCTACAGAGAAAAGAAACACAAAAACAAAGCAAAGCAAGACTCTGAGAAGGGCAGAGCCTGCCGCTGGAAGGATAGAGCACGCAGCACACAAACACATGCACTGACAACACTCACAGTACAGCACCAACACACAGACATGGGAGGAGGGGAGGTGCTGTAACATCAGCCATCATCTTGCAAAAAAATTGTATTGTGTGACCAAGGCCAGCCTTTAACAAACAGCAATGAAGCAGTGGTGTCAGGAGGAGAAGAGAGAAGAAGCTCTGCTGTGGTCACTGTCAGAGGCGCAGTAGCGAACCTTACAGCTGTCAGAACCTTGCCGAAAGGAATGTTCCCTAAAGTAGGAATTAATACTAACTTGTTATCTGTCATTAACATCATTCAGCCTGCACCTAAACAGAAAAGCCCATTTAATTATTTTGTCTTGGAGTAGCAAACCTCTAGCTTGTTATGTGCAAAGTCGGGGTCCGCATTTTAGAAAGGCTGAATGAGTGCTGTAGTTTTGCTTTAGAGTAGCACATACAAAAACCACAGAGCCCCAGTGCCACTGTGCGTCACTTATGGGACTCCAGCAGCTACGGGAGACGAACTTCACCTTTTGAAGTGTTCATGAAAGGTGAGACAAGTGTAATGAGAAAGGACAGCTGAATGTCAGGTAAGGCAAACGCTCAGGTGTGTGAACTGGTGAAGCTGTGGGATGCATTCACTCTTAAGCTGCTTCTTGTCAACAGAGTTTATGATGACCTTGAGCAGATGACCACAATGAGGAATCTCTAGAAGTTCTGTAAGCGAAGCAGAGAGGGAATGGGGGAGGGGGGGACACAACAGCACTGGGGTAGTGCAGTTAGAAAGACCCACACTGCTCCTCGGACTGGACAAGGCTGACACCTCAACCTCTGCAAGTACACTGTAAGTTCTGACTGTGTGTACAAGCTGTTCTGAGTGGGAATGATCACTTGAATCAACACTTCATTGCAACTGGCTTGAAAACCCTGTAAAATTTGCTGTTGTTTTCCTGGAAAGAACAGAAATGGAAAAAAGAAATGGTGAAATCGCAAGGAAAAGAAAGAAAAACAGATGAGTAAGCCCTAAACGTCTGAATAATTCTAAGGATTTTAGAGATGCTACACAGCAGAAAAAGAAAGGATCTCGAGAAGACGACTTCCCTCCTTGTGAGGCTGTGAAACAGCACAGGGTAACTTTGGGCAGGGCCCATTAAGCCCAGATGGTCGACTGCAGGCATGCTTTATATCACAGTACAGTGTGCAGAAAGAGAATGCTATGGCACGCAATTGATAATCAATTATAAACACAGCTGGATGTCTTTCGCGTGTCAACTACTGCACTCACTGGCAATGATCTAAAAGCCATGGAGCACGAGGCAGTGTTTCTGGCACAAATTGCTGTGAGCTTTTCAGAAGGCGGATAAAACAAATTCTGCTGATGTCACATTACTGGGGACAACTGAAGCTTCTTTTGTTCGTTTTGACCTTAGAGAATCAGTATGACTAGGTTTTACCCTATAGTGAAAGGATCTTTAACAAAGTAGAACTAGACATGATAGAGGTCCAAGTCTGTGGTGTTTAGCCAGAGACTCTGGTTAGATCTAGACAGATCTCTGGCACAGCATGAGTAGGATGTCCTCTTTTGACAGGTGGCCATTAGTAAAGAATTGCAGAAGTCCCTCTGGTATAATCCAGACATGTGGGCAAAAGTTACACACTTTGCAAATTCAAGATGTGATCAGAAAGTCAATGCACCATGGACAAAGTCTTCCAAGGTCAATCATAGAACATGAATCCAAATTAGAACCAAAATGTTCTCAAACAATCCCCGTGAAAAGACATTCTTTGTCAGGAAATGGCTATAATCACTCGCGGCAGAAAGACTGATGCAAAGCTGATTTACATAAGACAAAGCAAAGTACGCCAATAAGTGAACTAATGTTATCATCAATCTGTACAATGTTCACTTTTATCTCTGGTGATTGTTTACTTAGGTCTAAATACTGTAAGCGTTATAATTGGGTAATTATATGGAACAGAAGAGAATGGACTCCTGTAATCAGCAAACAGCCTAACTCTCCTTCAGTGTGAAGCAAATGCAGGGATTCTAGCAGCAAGCAGGTTGAAAAAAAAGAAAAAAATCACGATCTGTGGGAGAGTTTTCATGAAGGCAGGCAATAAAAGAAGCTGCAATTTGCTCATTCTACTCATTCAGCATTATAACCCAGGAAAGCAAATAGGGTATTTTGAGCAATGCAGCCCTACTGGCAGCAAATAAAAGAAACATATGGCAAGTATATGAAAAAAAACAAAGCGAAATGTTCATTTCAACAGTGGCAGAGTAATCTAGCAATGAACAAGAGCTGAAAGAACAAAAGAAGGAAAATGAATGAATGATCAGGTCTTTAAAATTGTGATTTTGTATTTCTTCCCAAATTTTACTTGCAAGATGTTTTTAAAGGTCAAGAATTTGTCACTTATCAATCAACATATGATAACTATCCTGTTTTTTAATAAAGCATTTTATGGATTTTATTTTTGTTGTTCTTCCAAAACAGGAAAGGGCAGGTGAATGGGAGCAGTAGTCAATCAATAAATCACTGCCATAAAATGCCTTTAAAGATAGGTGGTCAATACTTGGATTGAGGGTACCATGTACCTTCTATGATGAATGTTCTTGACTTTGAAGTGTTAAATGGGTCTCCTGGTGACAAAAAAAGATTTAGAAAAAAGACCATAGTTTATAGCTTTAACTGGAATGGCATCTCAGGGAATGGCATCTAGCTGTACAGTACCAGTCCCACTGCAGAGCAGCACCAGCTTGCCCAGGCTCTACCCAGATCTCACAGACACTTCAGCCCAGTCTCTCAACACTCAAATGGCTCACATGCACATCATGACATGTGCAACAGGCGTGCATCAGGGGACAGGTGCTTTTAAACAAAGAAAACCCTGAATTCTAGGTGTAAGAATCTAATACTCAAAAAACAAATCAGGGAAGCTATATGCATTGATCAACATACAGTACTTGTACAAAATCTTAAAGCCATGCACAACTCATATTTTAAGTGCAATTTGTATTGTTCGTGATTCCAACAGAAATAAAACAATCCGCAGCACGCTTACAGTATGTATAGTATATGTATGTACACATACTGAAATAAAAGGAAAACCTGGAACATACAGAACACAAAAGAAGCACCGCTGACTTTTGTGTATGGCCTTAAGTAAGCTTTATAAGTTTATAAAAGTGCAGCTTTTTTTCACTTTCACATTGGCAAGCCCAGGCGTGCATTGTCCCCAGTATAAACTGGACTGGATCAGACTGCTCTGCAATAGGACTCATCACTCCATCCCTACTTGCCTTTGGTTAAAGAATCCACTCACTGTTAATGTCGAGGCCGAAGTGAATTCTGAAACTGCAGGTAAAATTCTGGAACCAGGCCGAATGCACAGCAAGGAACTAGAAATCACGGCATACAATAGTCCAGGAATGTTACACTTTAATCGAAGCAGACCTCATTACCATTGTTTGCCGAGTATGATTATAACCCAGCCAGCTTTAACATTTCATTACCTAGAATCGACAAACACCTGCCATGTTGTCACATAATAGCCTTAAAAGATTTTACAAGAGCGTATCTATATCTAAGTGTGGATTTAAAACAAAGGTTTTAATTGACTTGACCCTAAACATGATAAAAGCCTTCAAGTGTCTTAAAACTTTCTTCTAACATCTTTGTTCAGTGATTGCCAGTAATTTCCCCAGAGCAGCCAAGGAAGAATCACATTTTAAGGGAAGATACAGCCATATTGTCAATGAAATTGACAATTCTCTTTACCTACTATGGCTTCAGTATGAATATAAACTTGAACCACTGTATTCCTGAATTTTTTATGTTTTATTCACTTTGTTGAATAAAAAGTAAAGTAATCTGATCTTAAGGCATGTTTCTTAAAAACAGTCCACAAATTTTTAAAGCAAAAACATTTAACTTATCATTCCTATTATTATTAATTATAATTCCTGTTTTTGCATGGAGAGGGGAGAAAGTCTATCACTGGTGATGTTAACCTGTGGGATTCTGAACGGCTTATCGTGAGGTAAGCATGTTTATTTTAGTCCACCACAACTTTCCGCACAATTCAGCTTAACATTCAAGAAGCTAGCGTACAATTTAAGTATTAAATGTGTACAATTTAAAAAGTAATAAATTCACAATTTCAATATTGTACTATCAGTTCAACTTATACAAGTTACAAGGAAGGATAATCAATGCATTTTCGAATACTGACTACAGCGCTTCTGAAAACCTGTGGTTGAAAGCTACTTGGGACAATGGAATGGGGTGGTAGTGATCTGCTGTATGACCCTGTCCAGCAATTTATTGCCCAAGAAAGATCCCAACATGCGGAGATGCAGAGCAGTGTGGGTGTTATCTCAGCCAAAGCGTGGAGCAGCCTCTTGAACATAGCTGCAAATCCAGCAAAGTCAGCTGAGATGACTCATTTTCAGGTCTGTCACTAAAGAGAGGTAGAGGGAGAAAATACGGTATTAGCAAGCCTACCTTCCATGGGTGTGTTGGGGTCCGGTCTGTTAGCAAACACCACATCCACATACTCTAACTGCAGTCGCTCCAGTGAAGCCTTAAGACCTGCAAAAAGAGACAAAACCTTGTTTAGAAAAGTCTCTTTAAATTTGGATTTGGCAGTTTTGGATTTCACCTTTTAAATGATACTGCAGGACTGTGGACCTGGAAATGTTTTGTTTAATAAAATAAAAACATTTTATTGACCAGGGCTCCCCTCTAAAAAACCCTTGAAGTGCAGCCACTTACGAAGGCTTTTTAAACTGGAATGTGAAATATTTTCTGTTGGATCGGGAGGCTGTTTAGTCTGGATACAAAGCTATGCTTTTCCAACTTAGGCTTCTTATGACCCATGATAGAGAGCACTCTTCACAGTCACAAGTGTGTTTATAGAATTCATTTAAATTAAGGACTGGATGAGATGAAAGGTCCTGGGATGAAGCTCCACTTCAATAACAATAACACGTACATCAGAGTTTGCACTCAGCATGTACAAAAACAACCTTCTGATCACCCTTGTGTTTCAAAACAAGACTACATTCATCTTATTAGGAGGACATTGCAACACATGAGGTTTTAAACCAAAGTACAAAGCCTACCTTCAATTATATGCTTTCTGGATAACCCTCTTTCAGTCTCTGCTCTAAAAAAACAGAATAAAAACAAACACTCATACACTGCAGAGCTATTACCACAAATAATGGAACAGTATGCCTTTTCCACAGAGCTTTTGATGACTTACTTTGTTCTACAATCCACATTGTGACAGAAACTTGCAACGTGTGTTGTATTAAGTCTGGATATTAAGCACTTACAGTATGTATTACTTGCAACATAAAGTAAAAGCCTTTACCTCTCCCAGTCAGGAACCATGATTGACTTTGAGCACTTGGCTGACATACTGTAACAACTGAAAGTCTTCTGAAACACCAATTCATAAAGAGATTATGATAACTATCATCACAAATACCTGAAAATCAGACGCTTTACACAAGACAAACCTGTCAGTGAAAGGGTACAGACAGTGATTTCTGCAATGGTAGGTTGACTTTTTGTATTCCAAATCCATTGTGTATTGGACTCTGTCTGTAATTAATAATTACTTAATCAAACGGTGGGGGGGAGGGGCATGGACTTGTAAATACATACATGTATAAAGAGATAATGCAATTATTTTTGACCCACTGTCTCTGTTATTAACTATTAACTTTGCAAAGACTTCGTGTGGTGAGATCTGCAATGCAAATGACAGCGGATTCACAGAGGGGGAACTTAACCTGGTTAAGCACAGGTAATTATGAAGCCTCTGAAGCCCAACTCCTCAGCGTGCTTCTTCATTAATTGCCTTGCATGAGCGGGACTCTCCCCCTCTGCTTCGAACACATTCAAATGCAAGATATTCTTAGCCCTCAATCAGCCACTGCTGCTCCCCGCTGTTCATTTAGCTTATTAAAGTGCTGCACTGCGGAGTCACACCACAGGCTCTGCTCGAGCTCTGACCCACACGTGCCACAGGGAGCCGGGCCCCCTCACCAGGACAGAAATTTCCACCTACTTTCCGCCCCAAAAGATCTTGGTGGTGATGACCAAACTGGAACGTCTAGAAGAGAGAAATAAACAATTCATGTTGATAACAATTGGGAGAAAGGGGAGTTGTAATTTAAATCATATTTAAACTGACATGAAAAGTTTGAGACACACTGATTTATAGGTGAAATTCAGGTTAGCTCCAGCAGATTACCAGTATTAAAATATATGCCTTAACATTGTGATAACTGAATATAATCACTTATTGAACAGTTCTTTAATTAAAATATGTGCAATAGCCCATCAGATGGTGATTAACAAATCCTGAATAATATAATGATTCAGAATAGAACACCTAACCCTAGATTTTTGTTCCTGTTACTAGTGGATTTATAAATAGCAACCTTTATTTCAGACACCCCCAACCCAAATTCTTCACTGCCACAACAAGATAATAAGATCACAAGAAGTATTCCTTTAAAAACCCATGCCTATAAAATGACCAAGGTCTTATGACCACAAGGAAGTCATAGTTCACTCATACTCACATACTGAACTCTGTAACTCTACAGACAAGTCACAAACAGACTGGTTGCAGGTCAGGCAACACCAACCACTCGCCTTTCAGCACACAAACACAAACTGTACATTATCCTTAATATGAGGAACTGTAAGACACACGCATTGTAGCCCAAGTGTCCCAAAACGGCAGATCCTACATTAACATGAACAAGAACAAAGTATAGACAGAAAATAAAAAGGCGTGAAAAGCAAATACTTTCAAATTAAAGCATGTTTGCAGCCAAACTCCTTTTGTTTCTACGGTGTGTCCCTGTACGTAAAGAGCTAGAGCACTGCCTTCAACATCACCCCAATGCCCCATGTAAAAACTATATACTCACGTTATTATTAGTAATAACCGTACTTAGAAGTTGCATTCAAGCTAACTTACAATCAAAAAGTATATGTACTTTTCACAGCCAGCCCACTCAGATATGAAAGTAAAGGAAAGCTCATGATAAATAACTAATTTGCGCCATCAATCCTCTCACACTAAGGATTTTGGAAGACAGGTGACACTATGATAGGGTGCTGCAGCCGCAGAAGGTGAGGCTTACCAAACCCACTCCATGAATTATTCACCTTATCCCCCCTTCACAGCAGCGTGCTAGAAAGAAGGACACAGTAGTGGAATTGTTCCCTTTATTAATTTATAATGACTAGCTTTCTCATCACACCACAACAGCCAGGTTTCTTAATCTAGAAGAGGGCTCATTGTTTAGAGGGAATAAGAAAATCTTAACAGCACCTTACCTCCAGCCTTTCTTCTTTATAATATTCCCAAGCACCACCTCTGCCCTGGAATAAAGAAACAAGTCTTAAAAGTCTTAAAAATATCTTAAAATAATGCAAATGCTGAAGCCTAAATATATCATTAAAAAGGTAATGCTGCTCTCCTGTATGGTCTCTTAATCAGGAGATTCAACCATGAATACTTGATTTTATTGGTCAGAAGGGGCAGTAATGGAAGCAAATTAGCAAGGATTACTTATAAACATCACATTTTAAGGGAAAAGCAAAGAACAGATACTTCAGCTTTGTACTGTATTTACAACAACTGTTTTTATTAGGTGCCACCTTACCTTACAAATAGGTACTGTACAACAGAATGCTGCTGAAGTCATTCAGCATTACATGTTTGTAATTTTCTGCCTGTGCAATCAGTCAGCACACGTTGTTGTATAGTTTTACTGCTCACATAAAAAAAATATTAAAAAAAAGACTGTAGATAACTACATCCCATTACTCAGCCAGTTTTACAGTGCAATGACATAACCATTCTTTGCATATGTACATCAGAGATCAAAGATTAAGCTTCATATATATATATGTATGTAATCTGCAGCAACAGCCATGACTAAATCCCTTTTTTCAGTTTATGGGGGCTAACTATATGCATTAATTAAGAAGATCTCTTAGACTGTATGAACAGAGTATTAAACTCTGTGAAGAAGTAAAACTCTGTGCAGTTTTTAATGGCAGATGCCACATATATGCCTTCAGGACTGATGTTTTCTTCGCGACTGAGTTTCCCCTACTCCCATTAGAAGAGACAGTGTCACGGATGCTTTAACAAAACCATTTAAAACATAGGCAGGAAAAAAACAGCAAAAGAAAAAGAATTGCACTCTCTTTGCACAGTTAATGTAATATGTTACACTTTAATCAAATGGGGGCAAAGAGAGCAAAGTGCTAAAATTCACAAAATGCGACATCAAAAAATTAAAATGGATTTTGCTCCATTTCTGCAGACTGTTCCCCAGTAAAGTAATGCTTACTAGTCCATTAAGTAGAATGTTATCCTGTTCACAAAAAGAAACATAGCCTATAAGAATTAATTCTAACATAATGGCAGATATTCATATGGGGATTCTGTGGTTGTCCATGTTTTTGCTGTATTTTATTTTATGCTGACAAGACAAATACAACCTATCTCAGTGAACAGTTTAAAAGGGACTGCGGTTAGCCTATACAGTACATCACACAACAATAAAGCATAACAATAGCAGGTTGCTGATCTATGCTGAAATGTTATGATACAACTCCTTCCCCAGGATCTGCGCCTGTGGCTGGAAGGTTGCCGGTTCAAATCCTGTGGCCGGTAGAGGAATCCTACTCTGTTGGGCCCCTGAGCAAGGCCCTTAACCCCAACTGCACCAGGGGCGCTGTACAATGGCAGACCCTGTGCTCTGACCCCAAGCTTCTCTCCCCCTGCCTGTGTCCCTGCGTGTCTCATGGAGAGCAAGCTGGGGTATGTGCAAAGTTGAATTCCTAATGCAATAAATTGTATATGGCTAATAAAGTGATCTCTATCTTATCTTATCTCAGATAACTCACTGCAGAGTATTGCAGCAAAAAGAAAAGCAGGTGCAGCTCCTGCTCTTTGTCATTTTGTAGTCCTGTTTAAATTTTGCTACCAAAATCTAGATAGTTTAAGGTTTATTAATTATTAACCATGTCTAAAAGGCACAAAAAACTGCAAAAAAAGGAGTGCAGGAACTTCCCTATGAATTCTATTTAGATTTTGCACGCTTCTGCATTCATACACAAAATCAATATTTCAAGATCTCCCGCTCCCTTCTCTCACCCCCCCCCTTCCTGCCCCCCAGGGCATCAGCACTCTTTAATGAGAGCTGAGCTGCATGAAAGTGACCCCTATCAATTCCTGTGGATGTTGCAAATATAAGTAATCCATGGAAAAAATGCTGTGAAGTACAATAAAGAATGTGAAATCATGTTAAACACATGGTACAGTGTGATGCACACTGCAGAAATTACAGCACTGTATAATAAACAAGTTAATACCAGTGGAAAACTGGAAGAACACCACATAAAATTTACCACACAATTACTTAATCAAACGTTTCCCTAGACCTTTTCAGCTTTATGGCAATCTATCTAATCCTGCTGGGATTGCAGCAGACTGCTTTGGTCTGACTATTTTAGCTGCTTTTGTCCATCTTAAAAAATAACAGTCTCACATGAGAAACACTTCACCATTTTGTTTTTAACTCCTCCCTAATACTCATTTTCTTTACCAACTTATTTGTCATTAATCGAACGTGTCATGTGAGGCCTGTATTCCCACAGACACGTGTGAAAGGGCCTTCTCTACACCCCAAGCCCATGGCAAGGACGCATGTGCGTGTGTAAGCACTCTGGTTCTGTAGCAGGCAGCTCTTATTTTAGCAGACACAGTGAAACACAACATACAGTACTCAGAACATTAGCTACCCTGCAACACCAGCAGAAAGCACAGAAGTGCTTAGGTCAAGAATCTTTTTCTGTTTGCCAGACACTTTACATTTCTGACAGATTGCTATTTTGTGTGTACATTTCAGATGACAGAGCTTTATTAGGGCTAGTTTTCTGACTCAGAGGAAAAAATGACCTGTCTTAACCCTTTCTGCTGGAATAAGAACAAGAAGCTGCAGTGGAACCACCCTAACTCATACGTATACTGTAGTTTCTGATGCATTTAATTTGAATATTGGTGAAAAAATAGAGCTTAATGAAGACACTAAAATACTCATTTTAATGATAATACTAAAACCTGTAATTACTTTGCACAGTAAAATACAGATAATAATTGAATTCATGTTTTTATTGGAGAGGTAAACTCAAGAGGTGCACGATTTATTTTGTTAGAAAAGTATCTGGACTGCATAGTTGGTGTTGGAGAATAATTCAGGCAAAGACAACCACACTTATTACTGGAACTACACCTCTGTAAGCTGACCAACCTGCAATTGGGAATTCACTGCATACAGTTCTTCTTTCTGAGTACATTCGGTAGCAAACGTCCTAAGTAGCAAACAGGTTTACATTTTTGTCCTCAGTTAATGCTCGCAGAATACAGTAAGGAAAACCGGCAACTGTTAACTTATTCCTATTAAAATAACTATCAAACTATCAGACTAGACTATCAAACAAGACTCCCCTTACTCACAGTATGTAGAGTAACCTGGTCCCAACATACTACATTAAGTTGTGGCTGCAAAATACGCAGTAATGACAGAGTGTGATACAGCCAACTGTATGTACTGCACACATAAATAAAACATAGAAAGATGAAATACTTCACATTGTGGGACCAAGTGCACCTGTACGATAGCCACATTTTGCATATCACAGCTCTGTAGCCTACAGAGCAATAACTTTGATCTGCTGCTGTGAATGACCAGCCAGGAGACTTACCATATGAATAATTTTTGCACCTATTATAAAACCTTCCAATTGATTTTTTTTTTGTGCCAGCTCTTCCAAATTCAAATGCCTGAAGCCAAACAGTAAAAAAATGCATTAAAAGTGTTATGAAACCACAGCATGATACATGGTACAGTATCTGCTCTCACATTGACATCATATAACAATACCTTAAACCATCAGCTCAGCACTATTCCTGGGTAAAAGCACATTCTGTAACTGGGGTTTTTTATTTTACTTTTGCAGCAATAAAATACTTTCTTGTAGAATACTTAAAGAAAGAGGTAATTGTTCATTACTTCTTATTTTCCAGCTGGATTATTTTCCAGCTTCCTAGGTATTGACATTAAACCGAGGTCCTGCTCCAGTCAATATTCACTAATGATAAAAGAGTCCTGGCAGAGAGACTACAGTTCTGAGAAAGATATCATCTTGCATTCAAACAGCATACTGTCAAACCGACACATCTAAGAAGTTAAGGGTTGGAGATTTAGTAAAGGAAATAAAACTACTAAAAAAGAATGAATTGCTCTTTTCTTAAAGCAACATCGGCAGCACTATTTCTGTTCAACGTGAAGAATAAACAACTTGAATGGATGTTCCTGTGCCTTTTGAAAACATCACATCACATCTTGGAGTGAGTTCCACTTACACTCCAGCAGTGAGGATTAATTCTAAAAGCTGCATGTTGCAGTGATTATCTTACTTAACACAAAATCCACTGGATTCCTGGTGCCAACAGTTTTGTCACAGTTCTTTGCTGCTATTCACAACGATAAGCCCTAGTTTGCTATAAACAAAAAAATATTATTTTAAGAACACACCTTACAAATATAATCAATCATAATTTAAAGTTCCAGATATTTGTGTGCATTAGCTTACATAGGGTATAGTAGGTTATCAAGGTATCACAGATCTCTGTGTGTTTTACAAGTGCTGTAAGCATTTTTATTAAATTTGTAACAGAGCTAATACAAATCAATAAAATCTTCGCCTTAATGTTAGCAAAAACAGATCTTAACAGTTCTTCAATCCCATCTAACAGTTCCATTATCAAATGGATTATGTGTTTTTGATGATTACTTAGTGATACGCACAGTCAGCATGAGGACAGATTGTGAAACACAATTACTCCATAGCGTAGCTGCCTGTGGCATAATGGTATCTGTTTCACTGTATACAGGGCATGTCTCAAGCCAGGATCTCATCATCATGCTCCTGTGAAGCAGTCTAAAATGGTCCCATCTCTTAGAAATCAAATGATTTATTTCTACAAGTACAGAATCATCTTTAAGATGTTGTATATGTAGTGGGAGCTTAGACTGCTAAAATAATATGGTGTGGATGCAGATGACTGGAATTTCCTGGTGCACATGCTGCTGAATCAGGACACAACACTTAACTCTATGTAAGGCCATGGAAGAGACCTATATACTGTACCTCCAAAGTAAGTGCAGCTTAACAAGCTCTTTTTGAGGCAGATGGTCAGGTTTGAGTTAATCTCTGTTTTGCTGGTTCAGAGTGCCCTGCTGAGGGTCTACAGGTAAGGGCAGCATCTTGATACACAGACACCTCGTGTTTATATACATCTAAAACTACAGTATTCCACAATGAACCTAGGCTGGCTACATTTTTTACATGATAGTGAAGGTGCAATATGTCTCTAACATTGAAAAGGAAAAGACACCTAGAGTGGATCATACCATAAAGGCCCCCATACCCTTTGTGAAATATTAATTTACCTTTTGGTGAACCACAGGAAAGTTTTATATACTTACTATACTTGGAAACATTTAAGATTAACAAGTGAATATTGGATCCGTAGCATTTGTTGCCTCTCATTAGATAAAAGTGGCCTCTTTTCAATTTCTCAGTCTGTTTATTTTAGTGTAGGCCCGTTGAGTATGATTTATTTTATTAGATCTGCTGTTGAGCCCAAGAGCAGAATAAACGTTTACAAGCATGCAGACTCTTCACAAATCTAATTAAATACAGAGAGAAACTAAAATCCCCCAGCTTCTTGTTACTCACTTCCCTGCTGCATAGACCTCAGCTGTGTCAAAGAGATTGATCCCATTTTCATACGCCAGGGTCATCAACTGCTCTGCCATCTGGAAGCAGGAGAAACAAGGAGGGAGAGAGGTGGACAGCAAGACAGACAGGGAAAGACAAAGAGATGAAGATGAGGCTCAGTCATGTGTAGATTACAGAGCTGTAGGGAAATGCTGCTGAAGCTGAATACCAAAATCACAGACTGTTGTTTTCACACATTTCACAGGTATGGTTACTTAAATTTTAAATGTCACGACTCTGAATCTCACCGTGGCACAACGGCAAAATGTTGCCTTAATGTACAGTATTTGCACTGCTATCAACAATGCGCAGCAAATACAGTGCAACAGAGAAGGTTAAAGGGTCACATTTATTTAAATATATATTGTATAAACAAAACAAATCCCTTCTTAAAAATATAACCAGAACCCATTTTTTATACATGTAATTCACCACCTGTTTTCCATTGTATACCCTCTGGCATTGACAGTTAATTAATACTGAAATTGGTTTTCATGGCAGGTTATTGCTACAAACACCGTGCTGTAAGGACAGAATGAGGACAGGTGTATGTCTGTGTGAATCCATTTTGCTGAAAGAATGCAGGTGCCTCGCAGGTCCCAGAAGTTGCCGTTTCACTGTGAGGGAAACCCTGGCAGACACAACCATGTCTAGCCTTGCGGTGCTCGACCCACTCTGCACTGCTGGATGGGAAATCCTGTTCATAATCTGGAGAACAGGGCTCACTGTGTGCTCTGAGTAATCACCCTTACTTGGATAGTCACTAAAACAAACACCACTGTGCAGGACATAAAAATGTAAAAATGGTTACAAACAAAAAGAGACCATTAGGCCCATCTTGATCCCTAGGTGATCGATCCAAGGATCCTCAACCTGCAGCTTTTTAAATTAAGCCAGGATATCAGCTTCAACAATATACAGTAGTTGGGTAGCTTGTTTCATACTCTGATAGCCAAATTTAAATCCAACCATACATTTTCTATCTGCTTTATCCACTACAGGGTTGTGACAGCCTATCCCAGCAAGCAATGGGCGCGAGGTGGGAATACACCCAGGACAGGAAGCCTGTCCATCGCTGGGCGCACACAGTCACAGATTCACTCACACCAGGGCCAATTTTCCCAGAAGCCATTTACCATTATGGTTGGAAACCTGAGCATCAGGAGGAAACACACATGAACACAGGGAGAACATACCAACTCTATGCAGATACCGGCCTGGTAATTGAATCCAGAGCTCAGCCCTGCAAAGCAGCAACACTAATCACCACGCCACTGTGATGCCCCCCTTTTAAATCTCATACGTAAAAAAATATTTTTGTGGCTGGAAAATCTTCATTAGAAAAGTTAAAGACTGTATTTTGAAAGGATGGGTGAACAGTCCATTGCTGCCGAACTGAGGGATGAATGGAGGTCCCTTTGATAAGCCTCTCTGCACCCAGCTCTTAATACTGACAGGCAACACTGAACTAGCTTTTCAGACAAGGGAACCTGCTATGCATCAAATGATAAAATACTGGATAGTGCAGACAAAGGGTTGTCAGCACTATTACACTATGAAAGACTATATTTCACTAAACAGATTGGGTTTAATGGTCAATGCTAAGTCTTTCATCTTTTACTGTCATGATATTGGAACATCCCAGGTTATCATGACAGACTTACTGTAATTGTGAGAGGATAAATGATGCTTACTACCTTCTTACTGATTTGTAAACTCAGGCCAACAGCAGAAGAAAGGTTTAATCTGAGTGTATACTCTGCACAAGCCCTTATTTGATAAACACAAAGCTATAAGGTAACATCAATAATTTAAAGGTTTTTTTTTACTTTAGTTTATTTGGAACTGCTAAAGCATCCAGCAGATTAAGATTATCGCAACAACTCTGCCTTCAGATGGGTTAGGCGAATGATCAGCTTGTGCATCAGCTCATTGGAGCCGGATAGAAAGGCTACTCAGAGTGCTTCGAAGCCAGGAAAACTTATTTTGCACAGTGTAGAGGAAAAAATCTGACTGCTCACTTTTAGTCATTCTCCCTGAAAGACCTGCAAACTGTCATACCAAAGGCTGTGACACTCCTTAGGCCAGCAAGTCCCTGGGCTTTGCTGCTATTCATGCTTTCACACTCAAGCAAGGGGAAATTGTGCCTTGCCCTTGAAAGATACAGCATATGCCTTTGTCATGAGGCCAACGATAGCGGCGTTAATCAAATTACTGTTGATTACTGAAGATGGCTTTTACTAAGTGCAGCTGACGTATACAAACCACTCTACGTGATTCAGTTCCTTGTTGTCTCAGCTTACTGCTGAAGCCATATGTTCCACCCAGACCTTTAGTGTCAGTAGCCAAATGTCCTGCTGCATTTACTTTCCTGAGCTGCTGTCCCGCCACCTTGGGGACTGTTCTTCAGCTGGGAAGACAGTCAGTTTGTGATGTAAGAGGCACAAACACCATCATAACCTCGGCTCCACAATCTCTCAGATTCAGGTATTAAAAAAGGGTCAAAGAGTTTAAATGAAGAAGACAGCAATAAAAAAGGCAGCCGATCCTACCTCATCTGTGATCTGACCTCCGAAGGTCACCCATGTTCCTGGAAAAAACAAAACAGAAACATTTTCTTTTCCCAACCGGCATTAAGATCACTTGACAACAATCCAGTCCATTCCTAGCAAGTGTGCAAGAACATGCCTCTTCTGACCAAATATTGTCTGAGTATGATCAATATCTTCATTAGTCAAATTCAGTAACTCCACACAGCACCTTAGAAGAACACAAGGCCTGGTGCTGCTAAAATAGCATAACATAAAGTGACTGTGTATTTAAAATGATGTACATATGACAATAAAAGGAATCCTTAACATGTCCAAAGCATATATACTATACCAAGCTTTCTCTAACAAATCTCAATGCAACCTTCTTAAGTTCCCAAAAATAAGACAAATCACTTTGAACTGTCAATCAAACAAGTAACAATTTTAGAAGAACCCTGACCGGGGATACAGCAAAAACTAGCAGGGAATAATCCCTGTACTACAGTAGTGGTGAGGTAGACCTTTCTGCACAATTACAGAGACAGAGGCAGACTGTACTGGTTGTGCAAGCCAACGGCAGCCAGTTCTGTTAGGGCATTTCAGTTTGATTTAACTCTGGCAATGCTCTGTACTGTGTTATTGGGAGTGACAGTTGAGCTAAAACTCAGAAATTCTACAAATTCACAGCTTTCACTATTTTCCTTTCTTCCTCTTTAAGCAAAAATGTTTTATTTTGCACATAAGCTAAGAGTTCCGATAAAGGACCTTGATGGCTCATCATGTGCAGTCAGTGGCACTATACAATGACATCTGACACAAAGAACACACAAAGCTTCTGCTTAGGGTAAAATTAAAATGTGAAGGCTGCTTTTATACACTTGGATTTTTAACAGCATATTAATTTCCCCAAATGCCTGTTTCATTGATCTTAGTGTTCTTAGGCTCTGCTGTTCCTGTCTGTCTGCCCACACTCAGGTAAAGAATGAAAGCCAGCCCACCACTCATCCTACTCATTCTTCCATCAATCACCTCACACCACAATATTACAATGGCTGATTGTGCAGGTCCCCTACTGTACATTTCTGCTTCAAAATACAGACTAATGTTGCATAAATACGAACCTAAGTGGAAAACGTACGACACCTTAACAAAAAGTAGTTCTGCAGTTATTGTACTCTTTTCCAAGGGATTTCTTCAACTTTATATCAAGGTTTTCTAACACTAACCAACCTGTATTAACAATCTCATTATATTAGACTATTATCCATCCATTTTCTGACATCCTTATCCAGTACAGGATTGGGAGGGAGCCAGAGCCTAGCCCGGCAAGCAGGAGCCACAAGGCAGGGTACAGGGAATTAAAGGTGAAAACCAGAGTGCCTGGAGGAAACCCACATGAACAGGGAGAACTGCATGGGGATACTGCAGTAATCCCAAGAATTAAACCCAGGGCCCAGCACAGCGAGGCAGCAATGCTAACTACTGCACCACAATGCCACCATTAGATCATAACTTACCTTGGAAAATGTTTATGACCACTGTGCAATACTACCATAATGACCTTTACTATGGCAAATCAATGTTTAAGCATACTCTGGTACGATGAAACAGGGTAAATCTTGTTAAGTCAAATATTGGTATATGGGTACAATATTGTAGACAACCCAGGTACAAAACTGCATTACAGATATACAGTACCAGGGGAAACTCGTGTGAGAAAAGAACAAAGAATTGCTCAGAACAAGACATTCATTGTCCTATGGAAAAGTAGCTGCCTACCTTTTAAGTAAGTTACTGTATGTCAGAAATCATTAGCAGGGGCTTGTGCTAATGTAAGCCTTTTGTTTGTCCCCTGGCGGTTTAATGCCCGCGGGGCTGGTAGAGGATAGTCAAGAAGGGAACTGACAGTCAGTTAATACAGACTGGAGGACAGATGGCAAGAGGACTTGCACAAATACACAAAGAGTCCTTGCAAGTCCTTTAATTCCTTCACTTGGAGAGCTCAGCTTGTTTATTTGCAAACGGGTTTATATACTTTACTTTCTTGTAGATAAACTGCAATGATTCAGCAGGACATATTTAAAAAAAAAAAATCAGAGACCATAGGGTAATAGTAGCACAGGTTGTGAATATCCTTAATTTCTTGATGTGCACTAACATTGGTACCTTCATCTTAACTGTTTAAAAAGTAATCTACATCACAAAGGCCTTCAGACATTTGAGCTATTGTTCTGTATGCAACCCTTTTTGTTTGACTTCTTAAACAACAAACTCATTCGCACTCACCTAGTCCAAGGCAGGACACCCTCAATCCTGATTTTCCAAGGTTTCTGTGAAAAGAGAAGACCTCATTAGTATGAACCTCTACTCAGCGTTAAGCACTTTCCTACAGTATAAAGCAAACAGAATAAAAGCATGTTAAGCACACGTCTTCCCACACCTGCAAAGGCACCAAAGGTTCAGTGGAATTAATTATGCATTATGCACCTACTGTATATAGTCAAGCTCATTAGCATTGACTCAGAAGCCCTGGAGCTATACAATTAAAAACATAACAATCAACATAGATGGTTATAAAGCACAGTCAAAACCAGCCAAACCATTAGGATTTTAAAGCACACACTTCTTTGACTTAAATTCAACATAAGAAGCTTCCTTAAAGTGATAATGAGATAGAAGTGACCTTTGAACAACACTGCAACCGTTTTCTCACAGGAACAATCCAGCTTATATCAGGATTTAGACTGCACCTTTCAGCTTTGCTAAACATGATTCAACAGATTCTAGACACCAGAAGATGAGGAGATTAACTCATTCCAAATGAAATTCAAAATCACTTAAATGGCCTTTTTATTTTATTCATGAGAACACTACACCACTGTTTACTGGCAAATACGCTATGATTCCAGACCATTCAACCTGTAAATTATTTGCAATTTTAAGTTAATTTCAATGCATGAAAAGTATTTTCTTTTGCATAAGCATCAGAGGCTGCCTACTTCCTATGGCATGAGGATTGTAGTTACAGATGAACTACCAGCAAGAGGCCAGAAAAAATCATGCTTGAAGAACTCTCCTGCTGAAGAGTGAATGTGAAACCTTTGGTGTTTAGATGCAAATTGCTATGAAAAGCATATCAGAGCAGGAAAGTGACTAAAGCATTAAGTAGAAAAGAGCACTGTGGCAGAACAGTGACACCGGCTTATCCAGAATCTGGAGTTGCTTTAAATTGCCCACAGTCCCTGCTTTGAGGTGGTCTGTTATGAAGAGGGCTAAGTATATGTGCCATGGGGGAGATTAGTCACAGTGGCAGAGGAGAGAGGACTTCTCAAATAATCCTGCACTGCCTGGGTGAAATCACCACTGCTTACAAAGAGAATCAAAGCACAGAAAGAATACAAATCCGCCTCAGGGAGCAGTACTAGCAAAGGCAAATCAAATTCTTCATAACAGTCTTCTCAAACAGATATTCTTAACCACCAAGATAACAATATTTAAAATAATGCATTCAGAGTCTTGTGCAGGTAGCAAGTAGCAACAGAATTTCCTTTTATAATCACCAATCGAGTGTCTCTTGTCAGGATTTGCATTCCTTTTTCTCTTGGAGACTGTTTTATCAAAGATACTGTAAATGATCGGTTCTGTACTGTAATATATGTGTGTTCTAGACTTACAGATCCAAGGAATGCAACTGCACAATTATCTGTGTCACAGATAGGCAACACCAGTCCTCAAAGACTAAATTCCTCTAGGAATTAGAATATCTCACAGTTAGCAACTGAATAAGCCCTGAAAAACAAACAGGTGATTCAATGTGTGATCCAACTAATGAGGTTAACTAAGCAATTAAGATCTGAGTTAAGAGTGAAAGCCTACAGCCACTGCAGCCATTAGGGACCAAGGCCACCTAGCTCTGCACTACTCTCAACTTTCACTCATAAAAATGTTATAAAACATTCCATATCAAACATATTGCACTGTCATATGTATAATTCAATCCCACAGAGAGCTGTGTGCATTTGTATTTTTAAATGCAGCAAAAGAATGTAACTGACCCAGTTTAAATTCATCATGAGCTAATGCACAGAGGAAAAATAGTAATGGATTATATTACATATTTGAGCTTTAAGATTTTATGTGAAGTATTACAACTGTAAGTAGTTACTGGATTTATTCCAGTAAAAAGATGTAGAAAATGTATTGTACTGAAATCATTTCAGTGTGCTATTGAAATGTCCACTTAAATGTTAATTAAGTTATGGCACAGCAAATTAATCATATTTTCCCAAGCAATATAACACAAAGCAATTTCTACTCTATATATTTTAAGAATATTGGGGATATTGCAACTGTATGTGCTTTATAAGCACAAAAAATATTGATTAAAAAGAAATGCCACTGCTGCTCTTTTTTGTAAGGCACAGCTCAGTGCACTACAGAAAATCTGTCACCCAAAGGCAAATGCAAACATGAAGAGCTGCCTATTTCCAGCCAACAGAGGTGTGAGCAAAACAGTGATGTTACACTTCCAGACGTCCTGTGAAATAAGGTCAGCAAAAAGCTGAGCAAGAGGTCTGGTCCTTCTGGAGGACAGACTATTTAAAATGAAACAGAACCCACTTTACTCTTATCAAACTACAAATCACACAAATTCTCAGATGAAGACCACTTGCGGGAGACAACGTATTGCTTTAGGTCCACTATTATAATACACTCTTTTCTTGCAATATAGTTTTTGAGAAGATAGGGTACATTGATAATACATGATTGATAACACACTGTATAGTGCACTCCATTACATGGTTTCTTTAAAGTGGCTTACAGCATAAATTGCTTTGAAATCTGGTTGTCTAATGATTTACATAATTGGAATAATACTAACACAGGATACTACACAACTATAACCTGTAGGTCTGGGGTCTCTAAGGCCCATGATTGTACACTTTGAGCATCTTAATTGCACCTTTGTTTTAATGTGCATACATCATGTGGGGGAAGAAGAAATAAAAGGAAACTCCTTTGATGCAGTTCAAGAAAGAAAAAACTCCTTTACACCACGTCTAACTTTTCATCAAGCAATTCAATTGTTGGGTTTGTTACATTTGTATACTGTATATTTGGGTAAAAATTATTCAGACCTGGAGCACGACAATTGCTAGAATATTGCGTATTTACCCAAGCAACTTGTGGAACTGAATCATAAAAGAGACAATATGCACATAGGTGTATAGTATGCATGCTGATGTGTACGTGCCTGCCCTTTTTAGATGTCCACATCGGACCTTTATGGGAATCCATAAAGGCCAGCTTTACGGCCAGCAGCCATATCACCCTGCAACTCACAACTGGGAACCCACTGAAGCTCAGCAGGTGTGAGCCTGGTCAGTACCTGGATAGGAGACCTCCTGGGAAAACCTAAAGTTGCTACTGGAAGAGGTGTTAGTGGGGCCAGTAGGGGGCGCTCACCCTGCGGTCTTAGTGGATCCTAATGCCCCACTATATTGTAAAAAGGTGCCGTCCTTCGGATGGGATGTTAAACCAAGGTCCCGACTCTGTGGTCATTAAAAATCCCAGGGCGTTTCTCAAAAAGAGTAGGGGTGTAACCCCGTCGTCCTGGCCAAATTTCCCATTGGCCCTCACCAATCATGGCCTCCTAATAATCCCCATCTCTGAACTGGCTTCATTACTCTGCTCTCGTCCCCACTGAGAGCTGATGTGTGGTGAGCGTTCTGGCGCACTATGGCTGCCGTTGCATCATCCAGATGGGGCTGCCCACTGGTGGTGATGGAGGGGATCCCCATTACCTGTAATGAGCTTTGAGTAGAGCATCCAGAAAAGAGCTACATGTATATAAGTGTAAGGAATTATTATTATTAATCCTTTTTACCACTGGAAAAACTAACAGGTGACTTTGATTAAAGATTAAGGTAGAATATTTGTGCAAATTCTGATTTTTTCTTTTCAAATAAGAGATAATAACACAATGTCTCCCTCGCCTTTTCCCATAGCCAAATATGAAATAATAAAAAAAAACATCTGACAGCATCTTCCTAAATGATACACCTTTACTTGTCTCAATTGTCTTTGTATTTTAGAGAAAGATGTCTTCATGGCTATCTGAAACAATCTGTTCTTAATTGGTGCTAAAGATTTGATAACTCGCTATACGGCTCTTAGGACATCTGCAGATGCATTTCACTAATGACTGGATAATAGTTCTGAGCCACTGGGCCAGCAAAATAAATCTAAATGTTTTAAAGAATTAATCCAATTAATTAGGGAAGACCGAGAGCAGCATAATGATAAACAAAATTAATAAAGCTGAGCCAATTATCAGTACTACAACTCTCTTTAATGCCAGGGAAAGACATAATAGTGTTTTCTAAGCCATACTTCAAAGATATGCTACTGTAAGTTCGATAATTAGCACTAGCGACAATGTTAAAGCCAACACCCTTTGTTTATGTCAGTCCCTGATTGCCTTTCTACTGCTAATTTTCTTTTAATTGTATTAAATTGGAAGGTAGTCAGAACGTAATGATTCTCAAACTACAAGAAAAAAGGAACATTTGAAAAGCAAAAGAAACAGACAGACGGGTGCTGGTTCTTCATGGATGAAGTTCATATACAGTACAACATGTAGAAAAGGTCCTTCAGACAAGCTTTACACTTCCTGTCCTGGGGTCCCTGGAATTGGCTTTCCTTGACACTCCTTCCAAGAGGATTCTGGCCCTGAGGAGAATGGTGCGGCGCTGCCATTGACATGGCCAGACCTCTTTGCTGTGTGATTTCATTTCTGAGGGGATTCCCTGGGGGATAGGCTCAAGCCCTCACCGCCCTGAAGTGGAGGAAATGGTGAGAAAATGGCATCCAAATGGATGGATGAGCCTGGGGGCAGGTTCGGTTTTGTAGTTGATTTCTTTTGTTTTGAAATACCAAAATCACCTTGAACCTCTGCATTTTGATCAATCTCTAGATGTCCACTATTTGTTCACTGTTGTATTAAACAAAACGTAGCCAGCCACCACTGGTCCTGTCCAGAAGGGGAACAACCCATTAGGGCTGAGGCACTTAGATTTCTTTTTTTCCTGTGGGAGTTGATGCCTAATGGTTGTTCTGTCAGATAATATGAATTAGTACGGATTTACAATTTGCAGAAGTGTTCTGCGGCAGTTCATTGAGAAGTGCACTATACAAAATTAAAATTGATGTGAAATGAACTGCAAATTAAGACAAAGTAGTTCACAAAAAAGATACTTTAAAAGAAAACTAAGACATGGCCCCTACTTATGTAATCTGTTCTGCATGCGAGTCCTTTGCTCTGTAACAA